ATCATGGTTTATTAGATCTGATTGTTGAAATTATAGGTGAGAATGAAATCATCCAGGGAGAGTTCTGAGTCAGAAGAATGGTTGCCAGACACAATCCCCAGGGGAAAATCTTTAGTTAAAATGAAGCAAAGTGGACAGAGGATGCTAACAGCGTAACAACATTTGCAAAGAAAACTAATGAGAATGTCTGATGTCTGAGAAAATAGAGAAAAACCAAAGAAGACCTTTCTGAGATGTAGAGGTCCAACTTGTTAAAAGCTGAGGACAGAACCAGTAAGACAAGAAATTAAAAACAAATTCATCTTTAGCTATGACAAAAGTTGTTGATGATCTTTAGACTAATGTAGCCTAGTTCATGAAAAAAAAAGATATCTTTACCTGTTTTGTATTGCTATAACAGAATACCACCGGCTGAGTGATTTGTAAAGAAAAGAAATTTATTTTTCAAACTTTTAGAGCCTAGGAAGTTCAGTAACTGGTGAGGGCTTTCTTGCTGGGTCTTCCCCTCATGGCAAAGGTTGAGAGAGGGAGAGGGAGCAGAGTAGGAGCAGGAACTACAAAGGGAGAGGGAGAGAGAGAAAGGCATACAGGCAAGGGGCTGAGGAACTCATTCCTGGCACTGCCCCATTCATGAGGTCAGGGCTCTCGTGATTCAGTTACCTCTGTGTAAACCCACTTCCTAGAACTGTTGCATTGGAAATTAGGTTTCCAACATATGAACATTGGTGAAGGCACATTCAAACCACAGCACTGGCTAAATTGCCCCTGAAGGAGATGGGGTGAATGCTGCCTATGGGTGGGGTCCACTTGTAAATAGAGTTGTGAAAGGTGTGGGAGGTTAAAGTTGTCTACAATGCTTGCCTAACTCCATATCTTGGAGCACCAATACAGTGAGAAGTTTCCTTGAGAAATTTTGAGGCAAAATAAATTTTGGAAATGTTACAAATAATGCTAGCATATTTAATATCACGAGAGATTATGAAGCAATGCACTTTGCCTAATTTTGCTTATTCTAGTGTTGGAACACAATTTAAGAAATTCTGGGCTAGTGAAGTGAGTCAATGGGTGCAGAAATGTGAACATAATGCTCTCAGAGAATACAAAAAATACTGTTGTAGTCTTTTAGCTATAGTTGTTTTGACAAGGGTATATTTGGCAAATTCTACAAATTAACTAATGATATAATCACCCTCCCCACACGCACACACTACTAATGAAATTTTAAAAGGTTAAAATAATGGTATTTTTCTTTTTTTAACCACAAAAGATTCAAACGATATCATGAATTATTTAAAGGAAAATAAAATTTGACTATAATCCTACTACCCAAATATAATCATTAACACATTTCACATATGGAGACTAAAAATAAAATAATAATACACTATATTTTTCCTGCAACCCCATCAACTATGACCCTATGTACCAAAGGATCCTTGGTGATGTCAGAATTGCCTATGGGGAGCTTCCTGGTCATCAGTTAAGTGATCATTTCCCCCTTTCTCTTAGAAGTTTTGATAAGCATGTCCCCAGGGACCCACCTCTTCCAGTTACATCCTATCTGCCTTTAGTTACCACTGAGTTAATCTCTGTCAGGGGATTAACTGATTGGGTGAAGGCTCTTATAACCCAATTATTTCACCTCTAAGCCTTCTTGCATTATCTCACACATGAGCTTTTGGAGGACACCTCATATCCAAACCATAACATTTGTTCAGAAAAAAAAATGTGTATGCTTGCTATTATTTTAACATTTCATTTAATAAGTAATAGGGACATGGGTATTTATGGGGTTTGGCTATAAGAAGAAACTCTGCTAGGGATGAAAAGTGTTTTCCCTCTACCAAGAATTTTGTCAAATAAGAATCTCCCTACCATAGAAATGAGAAAAACAGAAAATATCTCCTTTGAATCTTGATCTTACAGTCATATGTAAGTTTAAAAAGTAGTTGAAGCTGGGAAAGAAAAGGCCAAAATTATTTAAAATACATGGGCATCTTTCTCAATTTCCAATACAAATCAATAACATCATTTAAAATTTGTAGGGGATCCATTTAAGAGAAGCTTTTTAAACTGAATCAATTCCTTATTATGGATGGGGAATTTAATGAGTTATAATTGTTCCTTATGTGGAGTACAACCTCCAATCCTTTTACACAACATATACTCAAACACATACACTCACAGAGTCAAGAGTTGCCTCATGTGATTTTATTGTTATTTTTTTGTTTTGCATTAAGTTTCAGAAGCAGATTTACTCGGTCAGGGGGAATAGACATTTAAAATATGAAATTGTATATAATACTGAACGACCCTTCTTGAAAAGCTGTACCAATTTAAACATCTAACAGCAGTGGATGTTATTAAGTGTTTTAATATTTACCAATAAAAGCAGTACAAGCAAAATTAAATATTGTTTGATTTTTATTTCTTAGATTAATAATGAATTTTAATGTCTCTTTCCATATCAATATTTCATTTACTTATTTTGGACTTATCTGTCTATATTCCTTTTGTAATATTCTATTGCTACTTGACTTTTCCTTATTGACCTGTAAATGCTTATATTATATTAAAAATATTAATCCTATGTCCACTAAATATGCTCCAAATATTTTTTTCTGGGTTTTCATTTTCTAATAACTCTGTTTAAGGTCCTTTTCTTTGTGTTAGTCAAAGCTATCCATGTTTTGTTTATGCTTTTTAGTTTTTATATATTGCTTTAAAATTTGTTGACATCCCAATTTACAGTAATAGAAATATTTGCCTAAATTCCCTTCTACTTCTTTTATCTTCCATGTCTGACCATCAATTATTATATGAATCCTCATCCCATATTCCAGCTGCACTCACCTCTCAGCTTCACCAGGAGCAAAGTTGGCTGGTGGGAAAAGGTTCAAAGACATCCCTTTAACCTAATGCTTGATTATAACAACAGCAGCAGCAGCAACAACAACAACAAAATAACAGTGTCTTTACATTTTTAGGTCATCATTTTGGAGCAGTTCAGAATACCCATGTTCAAAATCGTAGACCAATTCACTTGCCCACATGTATTGTTTCAGGATGGGTGGGGAACTTTTCTTAAGGGAATATTACATCAAGTTTATGAAGCATTAAGTGTACTCTTTCCCCTACCAGATGCATTTGAATTTCTCATATGGAAGGCCTATAACACTAATATTTTGCATTGCTATAATGGAGTAGACTAGAGACACACATTTGTTTGCCAGAACCCTCTGCTGAATACATGGGAAGAATTAGCCCCTAAGTGTGATGACAATAGTAAGCATCTGTTGTTTTGGGTTGCTTGCCATCTCTGCCTTCCTCACTAGCAGCACTCTGTCTTTCTTTTGAGTAATGTCCTCTCCTCAACTCCACATAGTTCTATGGGTGCAATATTTCATAATTACTCTTTTCTTTACCATAAGGGTGGATTTATGACCAGAATAACAAATTAGATCACATGATCCTCTCTTTGGTCTTAATGATTCATTCAAAGATATATGTGATCCCAAACAGGGTTGATAAGCTTCTTCTAAATTGTGATACAATAGCCCTATGTGGAGAGGGAGGGAAGGTCCCTGGGTCTCTGATTTTCCTTTGGATGATAAACTGCATGCATTGAAAATATAAATTGGAACTTAGGAAGTCATGTTTCTTCTGTAAGAGAAATTGAAGTCAATATGCAAAAAAGAATGGAGAGATGGGGAGTAGTGATCTGAATGTAGTTTACTAAACCCTTGATTTTTTTTAGGGGCAGAGGGTGGGTACTAGGGATTGAACCCAGGGGCACTTAACCACTGAGCCACATCTCCAGATCTTTTAATTTTCTTATTTTGATATAAGGTTTACATTTCTTAGGGCCTAGCTAAATTGCTGAGGCTGGCTTTGAACTCTCAATCCTCCTGCCTTAGCTTCCTGAGCCACTTGAGATTACAGGCATGTACCACCACACCTGGTTTAAACTCTCCACTTTTAAATACTTACCTGATGAATTGTCTCTTCTCTTTTTAAAGCTAGGTTGAATCATTTTTATTTTTGTCACTTGCAACTAAAAGATTGTTAATACTTGGCTAAAGTCACAGCCTTTCAAATGCTAAGATTATTTTGGGGGGTAAAGATGGATTATTAGAGTTTAAACTTGATATTAATCTAGAAATGGGTATAACATATGAAAGAACATAAGTTTGAACAATGGAACAATATTTATAATAAAAGAATCTGGGAATTATTTTCAGATTTGTCACTGATTAGTTGCATAATTCTCCTCTGAAAATGGCTGCATTATTTAAGAACAATATTGGAATGTTGCTAGATGTTGGTCAGTGAATGACAGTGCTCTCCCATTGTCCCCTCAAATGAACAGTGGCTATTTAAGCTGCACATGTTCAAGTATGGGTGTTGAGATAGGGATTGATTAGATTATTTCAGATGGCTGAAATTCCCTGGAAAATACAGTCAAGTAATAAATGGTATCATTGCCTATGTTAACAAGGGTTTAGATAAAGGTTTTATTGCTGGGATATAAAGACTGACTCATTATTGGGCATGTTATCTGGGACACATTAAACAGGAGGTATGACATTGTTGATTTTTGAATACCCAATACTTTACAATATTCAAACACTAGTTTTTTTTTTAAATATAAGAATCATGTGTGTTTCCACTTTAAGCTGCTAAATTTTACTTTCAAAAGGAAACATTGTTTTATGTTTTTATCTTTTTAATATAATATATCTTTTACACTTTTAAAAATCATGAAAAAATGTAAGTAATTGAATGGCTTGAGTTTCTCTCCTCTCTTTCCTTGCGATGACAGTTTGGTTGTGGTATGGCTATTTTCAGTTTTTTTCCTTTGTTAAAAATTGTTGTTTTTCTATCCTCATAAATTTACTTCCTTAAAAGATATGCACTATCATAGCACATTGCCTCAATAATGTAAATTAGTAAAGAGGCAAGAAGATAAGTTTGACATTTTGATTTGCTTTTTTTCCCAGGTATTTAAATGAAATAATAGAATGATTTCTTAGAAATTTTCTCAGAAAATTCCCATTCGACTTGGCAACAAGATATTAGAACCAAAAGTGAAGGAAGGGAAACAAAGGTATGATGTATATATTGGTTGTGGCTTTATTGTTCTTAATTATTCTCTTTTTTATTATTATTATTATTGAGGCATCCTATGATAATCAGCTTTTCTTCACTGTGACAAATACCTGAGAAAAACAACTCAAAGAAGGAAAGATTTATTTTGGCTCACAGTTTCAGAGGCTTTAGTCCGTGGCCAACTGGCTCCATTTCTTTGGGTCTTAGATGAAGCTGAAGTCGTGGCCATGGGGTGTGTGGTGGAGGTGGCTACTCATCTCGTAGCAGTTGGGAAGCAGAGAGAGAGAGAGAGAGGAAAGGAGAAGAGAGGGAAGAATAGACCAGGGACAAGATATAGGCCCCAATAATATGCCCCCAAGTACCTATTCCTTATCTAGGCCCCACCTCCTACAATTTCCATTGCCTCCCAATAATGCCATCAAATTATTAATCCACTGATAAGGTTACAGCCCTCAAAATCTAATCACTTCCCCAAAGCTACACCTCTGCACATTGGTGCATTAGGAATCAAAACTTTAATACATGCTTTGGTAGACATTTCACATGCCGTACAAAACTTTTTAGCTGAATTGATTCATTAGTTTTCATCTATTGATATACCCAAACAAACAGCATCCTACTCAACATACAGAAATCTCCCTATTTGCCCCTCAAAGTTAATACCTCTCTCAATGATATCTCTATTCTGATGTTTGTTGTCATGGATTGATGTTTGCTTGTTCTTGAATTTCTATAAATGGAATCACATAGCATATATCTTTTTTTCTAGTTCATTTTGTCAATGAGATTCATCATTGTTGATGAGTGTAGCTATAATTTTTTTTTTGTAAGAACACACTATAACTTGCTTTATTTAAGACAATGTCACATTTAGGCAAATCTATAGATACAGAATAGATTGGTGTTGCCTGGGGCTGAATGTGAGGAAAGGGATTATTTGTGAAAGAATAGGATGGATCTATTGGAATAAGAAAATTGTCTTAAAACTAGACTATAGCAGTAGTTGTACAACTCAGTAAATTTATTAAAAAATCATTGAAATGCACAGTTTAAATTGGGTGAATGTAATGTTATATAAATTATAACCCACTACAGCTTTAAAAAAATTCCAAAATTATTTATCCATTTTATAGTAAATGGACACTTGGATTGGTCCCAGTTTTTGCTATTATATGTAAAGAGAGAACAACATTCTCAAAAGTGTCTTTTGGCAAATATATGTACTAATTTATGTTGTAATGAGGTTATTTGCTCAAAGTTTTTCACTTTTTATAATTTTTATTATAGTGCAAATTTATTGATTGCTATAAGTTTTATAGTTATATGATTAATTTTTAAAAAATAAAGACAGAATCATCACATCTACCATCCAAGAGTTAAAAATGACAATATCTTATCATTTGATATACAAATATCATTTGTATAGATATTTTATTTGCCTTTTAAAAGAAATAAAACATTATGGAAATAATTTAAGTTTTTTTTCCTGTTCTTTCACACTCTTATCACCTACTCTTCTTTTCCTGAGGTTTCCACTCTCATGAATTTGACATATTTCCTTTTTGTTCTTGTTACTTTGTACTTAAGAATGCATATATACATTGATAATCAGTGTAGAGTGTAGTTTTGAGCAGACATCTGTGATTTCTAAGATTTTTTCATAAATAGTAACAGTGTGCATATTGTCCCACAATCTTTTCTCCAATTCAAAATTACATTTTTGGAATCTGCCTGTGTTGATGCACATAGGTCTTGTTCATCATTTTTGCCCTCTAAATCTAGAGATTCCACTGTATAAATGTTCTAAACTATATTGATCTGCTTTCCCAGTGGTACCCTGTTTAAAAAAATTAGTTATAGATGAACACAATACCTTTATTTTATTTATTTTTATGTAGTGCTGAGGATGGAACCCAATGCCTCATGCATGCTAAGCAAGCGCTCAGCTACTGAGCTACAACCCCAGCCCCACTAGTGATAAATTTTTGATTGCTTTCAAATGTTTATAGTTTTTCACAAGCCATGTAGCAGACATGATTTGGTTCCCTCCACACCTAATATTTTGTCTCCCTATGGAGGGTAGTCAGTACATTCTTTCTAGTACGTTCTTTCTTTTCAAACTCTGCATACTCTCTCCTTCCCAGTCTCAACTGGATTTCTTAATGCTTCTTTAGAAAGCAGAAACTAGCTTGTGGGAATGTTCTTCTCATTCTCACCAGATCTATAGAGTCCACCATCCCTTCTCCCCTCTGGTTCCCCTCAACCACATGTACCTTCTCCAATTGCTTCATAAAGACTCTGGATCCCACACCACTCCCTTCTCTTGTTAAGATGCTGATTCTCTTCAATCATCTTAAAACTTTTAGTTCAGAATGCAATATTGTCTTCTTTATAAAAATTCTTATGAATCTGTTTATATAAAATTTGAAATCAAACAAAACTCTACTATCGAGTCTGGAGACTGGTGGCAGGGAGAAGGTGACTGGGAGGGAGGGGCATGACAAGCCTTCAGGAATTGGAAGTGTTCTTATTCTCCACCTGGCCAGTGTTATGCAAATGTTTACTCTGTGATGATTCTTGGAGCCTTGCATTTGGGTCATATGCACTCTGCTGTGTCACATAACTCAATAAAAAAATGCTTACACCAAACTCTCCTTACGGCACACCCTCTTCACACTACTCTGCTTTTCTACCCATATCTCAGTTTCAGAAATTCTTATTCCATCTACACTTTGTTCCCTCTCATTCACTCCTTGTCCCTATGGAATGAAACTTCTGTTCATGGTTAATGGTGCCAGACCTATCTCCTCTTCTCTTTCTACTGTCCCTAGATTATTCCCTCCATCGTCATGTTTTATATACTGTCTCAATGTTTGCAACTCTGGAATGTACCAATATGACCTAGACCTCTGACCTTGAAATGTAGACTATCTCCCTGACCTCAAAGCAACTTCACCGTGTATGTATCGGAACTCCTGTCTTTCCCTCTAGCATAGACGTGGAACCCAATCCCATTACCCTCCTGCTTGAAGCATTTTAATTTTTTTTGTTTGCACTTAAAATTAAGCTCCTTAAAATAACCTCAAGGTCTCTGAATGAGCAGACCCTGGTGGTCTCTCTCTCTGTCTCTGAACTCTTTGTTCTGCTCTACCCCTCATTCTTTGGAACTTGGCATCCCAGCAGTTGTTTTTCCTCTCTTTTCCTTTCCCCTCCTTTCTTCCTTTCCTTCTTTCCTTCCTTTTTCCTTTCCTTTCTTTAAAATTCTTGATGAATTTCAAATATACAAATGGAAAACAAAAAAAAGTTAAAAAAAGAAAAAAAAATTTCAGTGAACAGCTGTATATATTCACCCTATATAGATTTTAATCACACTGGCCACCTTTCTGTATCCAAAGATCACAAACTCATTCTCAAACTTGGGGCCTTTGTGTTGCTCTTCCTTCTGCATGCAAGATTCTTCTTTGGTTCTTTGTTAAACTCATACTTATCAGTTAAAATATCGCTGTCCTTTAAGTCTGTCACTGACTACCATATATCAATATATAATAAATACCAGTTGAGTATTCCTAATCTGAAATTCAAAATGCTTCAAAATTGAAAACTTTTGAGTACTGACATAATGCCACAAGTTCCATACCTGATCCCATGTGACAGGTTGCAGTCAAAATGCAAATGCATTAAAAATATTGTATAAAATTATACTCATGCTATTTGTAAAAGGTATATATAAAATATAAGTGTCAAGCTTATATTGAGTTCTGTCCCCCAAATATCTCATTGTATATATATGTGTGTGTGTGTGTGTGTGTGTGTGTGTATTACGAAATTTTTTTAAAAATCCCAAATCCAAAACACTTCCAGTCCCAAGCCTTTTATATAAGGAATATTCAACTTGTACCTCAACTGCATTGTCTTTGAGACTGTACTGCTTATTTCCTTTATAGAAATTACTATATTTTGTAATTCGTAAATTTCTTGTTTACTATTTTTACCCTCATGTAAAGCCTCATTCATTTGTATCTGAAATATGGCACTATTCATCAAATATTAGTAAAATAAAAGTACTTAAAATAAGTTTTTTGCTTGCCAAAAGAATGCATACTCAATGCATAAATCTTTTATAAATGGTACACTGAATGTGCTTCTTTACTACTAACTTTAAAGCATATGATTTAATTTAAAAAATTTTCTGTGTCATATGGAGTTTCCTCAAAAGACTAAGCATGGAAACACCATATGACCCAGCTATACCAATTCTTGGTATTTATCCTGAAGAATTAAAGTCATAATACTCCAGTAATAATGCATGCTTATGTGTTATGGTCTGGATGTTGAGGTGTCCCCCAAAAGCTCACATGTGAAATACCACAAGAAGGTTCAGAGTAGAAATGACTGAGTTGTAAGAGTCTTAACCCAATCAGTAATTTAATCCACTGATGGGGGTTAACTGAGTGGCAACTGAAGTGGTAGGGTGTGGCTGGAGGAGGTGGGCATTAGGAGCGTGGCTTTGGGTATATATTTGTATCTGGCGAATGGAGTCTCTCTCTCTGCTTCCTGATCTCATGTGAGCTGCTTCCCTCTGCCACACTCCCCAGCCATGATGTTCAGCCTCATCTTGAGCTCCAAGGAATAGAGCAGGCCTTCTATGGCCTAAGACCTCTGAAACCATGAGCCCTCAAATAAACATTTCCTCTTTTAAAATTGTTCTGGTTGGATCATTTATTCACAGCAGTGAGAAAGCTGACTAGAACATCATGTTTATAGCAGCACAATTCACAATAGCCAAACTATGGAATCGGTCTAGGTGTCCATTGATCGATGAATGGATCAAGAAAATGAGACACACACACACACACACACACACACACACACACAGGCATTTTATTCAACCACAAAGAAAAATGAAATCATGTATTTTGCAGGAAAATGAATGGAACTAGAGACCATTATGTTAAAAGCAAAATAAATTAAACTCAGAATATCAAGGGACAGGTAAAAGAAGCTAGAGAGAGCAGAAGAAACGTGAGGGTGAATCACATGAAAATCAAAAGAGATTAGTAAAGGAAAGGGCCCAAGGAGTGGGAGAGAGAGAAGGAGGGAAAGTGCTGGGGAGTGACATTGACCAAATTATGTCCTTATGTTTGTGCAAGTACAAATATGTAACAAGAAACCCCATCAACATGTGTGACTATAATGTACCAATAAAAAATGCAGAACAAAAGATATTAACATTTTTTTTCTGTGTCACAAAGTTCTAGTAAGTACTTCATAGGCATTTAATTAAAACCTAAATGTGAATATATTTATCTACAGAATAATTTGTGATTGCATTTCATTGTATGTCATGTGAAATCATCATAATTTACTTTAATACACTTCCATTCTTGAGTATTTGCTTTTTGCAAATTTTCAGCTTGAATTTTAACTTTTTACTTATATTTTGTGGTAAGGACACTTAAAATCTACTTTCTTAGCAATTTTCAAATGTACAATATATTGTTCAAAATTTAAGTGAAATCTAATGTTTGCCTTTTTAAGTAACAAATCAAACACATTCCTATTTAATAAATAACTTTGGTTCCTTAGGGTAAAATCCTGAGATTAGAACTACAGGGTCAAGAAATGAATACATTGAAGAACATTATAGTTTGTTTTGCTAAATAAACAAGTTGTATCCTTTGGGACTCTTATTGGACATGTGGGACTATCTTAAGACAAAAAAGTAGGTTTTGTCTCAATATGGGAAATGACACTTTCACAAAATAGCTGTCCCAATGATATTCAAGCAGATGTTGAGTGAACATCTGTCAGGGATGCTGGAAAGGAGACTCATATTGGGTGGCAGTTGGTTTATAAATTTTAATGACTTTTTCAACTCTTCAATTTGTAAAGACACTATTTCCTGTTCCACATTCCTCATGGCTTAATTCTCTCAAAACAATGTTTTAATAAAGACTCATTGATCTTAGTGCCAAGATTACCTTCTGGTTTCTATTTACAATTCTCATTAGATCTTGTGTTTTCATTTCCAAGTAAATAAAACAACATCTCTTCATTATTTTCTTCAAAAGTAAGCTTTTTCTAAAAAGGGCATGAAACTATACCTGTAAAAGTATATTTCATAGGAAGAATTCTTTTTAAAATCATGTTTTGGCACCCTGATAAAGCTATTTTTAATTTTTGTGCTAGAATGCAGAATATATGAATACTTGATTTCTGTGGGATTGGAATCTTCTTGAGAAAGTTCTCTCAAATGTTCATAATGAGAATAAAAATCGCAATAATAAAAATTAGGAAATAATATGCTTCAGTGAACTATTTAAGTGTATTTTCACTGTGCTGTTACATTAAAGACTTCTAAGATTAGCAAGATTACTTATATTTTAGGTTAATGTGAGATAATGTGTTTCATCAAAGGATTGACTACTTCATAATTAAATTGCCATTGAGCACAGTGGTAGTGGGGTTCATTTTGTGAAAATTATTGACATGGTATTGTGCTGCAATATCATGCACGTATAAAAAGTACACCAACATAAGTTCTTTGTCTTTGAACACTGTACAATCAATATTCTATTACCACAATGCTGGTTTTGCTGCATTGTAGCTAAATTAGAATGTCAGGTATAGAGATGCTTAAATCAGACTTTCAAGTAATGAGGACAATACTAGAATTCTAATTATTTTCTCACCTGACATGTATTTATCTTTTTTTCCAGTGCTTTGGTTATTTCATAGTTTAAATATCATTAAGATGTTTGTAAATATCTAAAGAATTTTATTCTTTATATTGTTGTGGATGAAAATATATGATAAAAATTTACATTTCAGTAGTAATGATGATGACATTTGTATAGGGCCTCATAGTTAATATCCAGTAAGCATTAATTCTCCATTTGGTATAAATGCAAAATCTGATAAAAGTATGAAAATGTAGGTTATTTTTAAATATGTAAATGAAATATAGAAATGATATTGAAATGCTGATAAAGTTACATAATAAATTTATAGTATCTAAAGTATGGATTCTCTCTATAACCTTTTAACTGGAAATTCACTAAAAGAAAGAAAATATAACACATGTATGTGAACATAATATGTAACATGCCACCTTAAAAATGCATAGAAGCTAATAGAAACACTGAATTTCTCCTAAGCAGTCTTATATAATTTTAATATTTCTAATAACATAAAACCAGGTTATTAATGATATGGGCAATATTATATTAAACCCTTCATTGTCTTTGCTTGTTATTATAAATAGGGATTAACTTTGTATATATTTTTCTGATTGTTTTACCAGCATGTTCAAGCATGCATTGTAATTTTGCCTAAATTTTGCCTAAGATTTCAAGTTTGTATTTCATTTATGGATTTTAGAATAACTTTAGGATTTAAGATTTGTGTGTGTTTCCAAAAACTAGGATAAAGGTGGATTGAGAATAATAAATATTATATATGTATATGATATTTTTAAATATTTTGTACATATGTGTGTGTATACACATTTGCCCAACCACAAAGTTGTCAAACACAATTGATGTCTTTAGTGAAGCTGAATAATGGCAAACTGGTTTTAAAAATACACCCCATAAGAAGTATTTGATCTAAATTGGATAAAAGGAGTTTTCTTAGTTAGGAAAACTATATGACATTTATCCATACATTGTGGATGACCCATATATATTCATTTTTGTCTTCTGGTACCTGCAGATTGTCTAGGAGGGTAGTTTGGCAAGATTATGTGAAAAAACAGATCGCTGTTTAACAGAAACTTCTTTCAAGGTAAAGCCCGATATTTGTTTAGTTTTCCCCTTATTTTTGTTTTTATGGTTGCAAAAATGCAGATCTGAGTTATCCCCACAGATAATAGTTCTGAGTGAAGTTGTAAGGAAAAAGTGGTAGGGGGACATCAAACCTACCAGCCTCAGGAAAAGCAGAAATTCAGGCACCATAGGAGGCTTTGGAGCTTCTGCTACAAGGTCTGGATGTTGCTTTAGTCTCTCTGCCTTTCAATTGACTCAAGTAATCTCTAAATTCTTGCCTTTCTTTTTAACATCTGGCTTTCTAAACTCATGTTCTCTCTTTCTTAATTTTTGTACCTTTATAATGCAGGTTCACATGTGGAAGGGTCTACCCGGCCTCACAGGTATGTGGCGAGCAACCTGCTCTGTCAACAGCACAGAGGTGAGTACAGATGGGACTATCAGGTCTAGGGGACCAAAAGGGGCCTTGTTATTGATAGAAATGATAGACATTGTTATGCTCTAATTCGGGACCCCCAAAAGACCACCAAAGACCAAGATCAATGTAAACAGCAAAGAGGTATTTATTGCGAGCTAGCTCGGTCCTCCATGCGCACACACACAGCAACTGGTGACGCTGAGAGGCCCTGAGCCCAGGGTTTGCAGCAGTTTTATACATTCTTTGGAGAAGGCAGGGACTTCACATACATCATAGCGTCTCTTAGCAAATCATCACACACTGTGGGAAAATAAAAAAAAACAACTCTAAAACATGATTAGCACATTGACTGGTGGGAACAAGTTGGGTAAGGGTGATTGGTCAGTACAAAAGGGGTATTCATTTAAACTGATTGGTTTAAGCCAAGAGGGGTGTTCATGCTGAACTACATGGTTTCCCAACACGTTATCAACCACCATAAACTACTGGGAGGGTCATCTGGCATCCAAGATATTTCCCTGTCTCATGCTGATTAGTGGCTGTTAGAGGGTTGCTATGGATCCCCCACCTAGCCTGACTGAGTCAGGGACACCTGGCTCAGGAGATCTCTCCTGTTTTTGTAGATAAACAACTTAGCAGGGTGGGAATGTGCCTAGGAGTGCTCTGTGGGTCTTTCCAAGGACAAAGGCCATGTCCCTTCCTTGGACAGGCTTTGCTCTGAGGTAGAGGCTGGTTTTTCAACATGATAGAGGGCAACAGAAGATTAGACATGATGAAGGCACCACAACAGGGTAAGCTTTAACAAAAATGGGGATTGTAAATTACACAAACTTTATTTACTGAGATGCAAAAAAATTGACAGCTTTTGCTCACCTGTATTTTGTGACTGAAATCCAAACCTGTTACATAGGGAAATCACATCAAACAGGCATCCCGTGTCTGTCAAATTTACACACATTTCAGAGATGGCCATCTAGCATGCTTAGCAAAGAAGTAAGTAGCCATTTAATCTATGAGAATTCACATGACTCTTGAATAGTCTGCATATAATATTGTTTCAATGGATATATTCTTTTACTGGCAATTAATAAATTGATTCGCTTAATAATGGTTCTCTGTTTTCCAATTACATCTAGCATGAACACCTTTTCTGACTGTTTTCCAAAATATATTCTCTTATTCTCAGTTCCAAAGTTCCCAGGACTTCAGTTAACTCTCAATTAACTCCCTAAAAGTCCTTTCAGAATTTAGTAAACTACATTTATCAGGTTAGCATAATAAAACACCTTTATTATTATTTTTAGAAAGGATAAACTACAGAATCTTAGGGGCTAACCTGCTACTCAAAGATTAAAATTAAAGCAATTTTGTGGTTTTTCTCTAAGGATAAAACAAATCTGAGTTCTACAAAAATGAACAATGAACACATGGCAATTAGAAAGTGAAAATACCCTATAATTGGAAACAGGGTTAAGGATAGAATGAGAATCAGAGGGGGGTCACTTGAATGACTTGGCAATATGAAACAGATTTTAGATTTTGATGGATTATGTCAATGAAGCTGTATTAAAATGACTGCATCAAAATAGAAATGTCAAAATCTCTGCATCAGGAGGTTGCTGTGGGAACATAGCAGTTGTGAGTCTGGTCTATCTGGGATGTGGTCCAATGTTTAATTGTGGTCTCCTTTAACAAGTAGGTACCAGATGAATAAATAATCCTTTCAGATTACATATCTTTGAGAATATGCAGTTCTGATTTTGTGCATCAAAATGCATGACACTATATATCAACCATTTTTTTAAAAAAAATATTTTTGAACAATGTCAATAAAATCTCTCAAATTTATATTTTCATCTGTCAACCATTTTGGGTGCACATGTTTACCATGTCAGTGGAAAAAGGGGAAAAGATAGGGAGACGCATTTGCAGTTTATAAACAGTTGCATTTAAAAAGTTTTAAATCACAGTCATTTTGGGCCACCTTATAACACCTAACATCTAATCTTACCCTGAAAAGTTACCCCAACTTTTCACTAACCAAGACAAAGAGGAATAAAACCAGTCAGTGAAACGGACTCCTATTCTAAGTGGCCTAACCTTTCCTATTTGAAACATTCAGAACCACACTTGGCAAAGTGAAAAACAATTCTCAGCATGAAACAAACCCATGTGAGTAGGAAGTGCAAGAGGACCAAGTGGAAGGCCCCCTCCCCTGATCCAGCTCTTGGGATTCCTAAAGCTGTTCTGCTGTAAAATTAAATTAGTACTTTCGGGTAGGAAAAAGGTAGGGCTAGAGTTTTTTTTTTTTATGATAAATTACTTTGGGGAATTTGTTCTGTGAAAAAGCTTAATTATTTTTTCCATAAAAAATTCTCTCTAGCACTCTAGCTCCAGGGAAAGAACTTTAAAAAGGAGGGAGACTTTGTGGGAGATCATATAGAAGTTCTTCCAAAGGTACGCAATGAATATGAAATAGCTGAACAAAGAATACCCTATCCCTTCCTAATAAACTGGAAAGATTTTTTTTTCACTTACATGGAACAACTAATGATATACCACACAAAATATTTTATTGTGTTAATTTATGTTGAGACTCTTTATGTCTGGACTCTTTCACAGTCCAGCAGTGCCTGTATCTTTCCTCATTCTTTAAAGACCTCAGATAACAATAGCAGGGCAACATTGTGTTCTGGAAAGACGTGTGTGCAGGTGTAGATTTTTCCCTTTATTGGATAGTGAATGAAAGCAAGTGGGTATGTTCCCTAAGTCTCAGTTTCTACATATCTAAAAATGGAGATAACAATGTTTACTTTAGCAGTCTCCTCTGTGAAAAATAAATGAGGTAACATTATGTAACTGATTGATAAACCACAAATAGCATTTAATTATTGGAGAAAAAGGAATCAAAAGCATGATGTGAACTTTTTCAGAGGGCAGAGTGAGAGTTTGCAAAGTAAACCATTGAATGGCATTGATTCTATGGAATTTTTTTAAACATCCAAGTCTACTTAATCACAATTCTAAACATTGTAAAATGTCTCAAAAACATGCAATCTGCTATTAGAATAAAAGTTAAAAATCTGTTTTAAATGAAAACTAAACTTATCATAGAGACTGATTATCTCAAGATTTCAGATCCAATTGTCTTTATTCTCTAAAGATGTAGTATTTTTTTTTCCTATTAGTCTTCTTCTTCATCCACCCATTCCCTCATCCATCACATATTGTCAGCAGATCCTGTGCCAGATACTATGTTTAGAAAAGTGTATGGGAGGAAGGAAGTATATTGGATTGACACCAAAATTACTTCAGCTGGATTATACTTTGTCCTCTTTGTACCTTTGTTTAACTGCTCACCATTTCCACTCATCCTATCTCTTTATGGAATCAATTCTTCTTAGTCTTCAAGGATCACCTCAACTTTTTTCTCCAATGGAGTAATCAATGGTGACTTTGGTCCTTCAGAGTCTCTCTTAATTATGAAACCTGTTCTATTGCTCTTAACATGTGCTCCCCTGGATAAGTACCAACAATCTACTGTGTTATTCAGTTTGTTCTTGTCGTTTGTCCATCCACCTATCCATCCATCCATCCATCCATCCATGCCTTCCACAAGCACATATCAAGCACAATATGTGCCAGATATCAAACTATGTAGTTGATATACAATGTAATTATGGTCTCTTTCCCTGTGAATCTTATCTAATTTATAGCCTTTTAAATTAGAATATGACTCAATGAATGTAGGAAATTTATCTCATGACCAAATCCTAGCATTTATAATTGAGGTAAGTAAGAAATGATATTTTTTTTATCTGTATTTATCCAATTTCTGTGTCAAGCTTTATTCTGTTAGGATGGGAGAAACCAAATGTCAGTGAATTCAAACATTTCTCTTTCTCTTCTGTTTTTCAGGGGTTATGTCAGGGTTCCAGAAAAGTTTTTACTGAGTAAGTCTAGGGAATGGGGTGGTGAGGAGAGTGCTACAGATCTCTGCTATCATCTGTGTGAAACTACGGACATCTGCTGAAACTACTTTTGCCTGATCATTTGCTTGGTGAATGTGCACATGGTGGGCTGCAAATATAAAGTGCTCTTGTCCATGGTCCTTGAGAATCAGGCAGCTCTCTTGGCTTCTTCTGCATCACTCCTGGGTATACAGTGCTCATTCTGTGTCTTCTCAACCACCAAGAGAGAATGAAAGCTCACAGGCTGCTACAAAGCCTGTCTGCCTGCACACCAGGCCGCCGTTGGTCCACACCTTCCTTGGGCATTCACTTGGAACTTGGTGCACAGCACTTCTTTCTTGGATTGTGTTTCTCTCTGTATCTGCCTCTTTCTCTCAGATCCATGTTATCAAATTTTTGTTAACAAGCAATAAACTACATGTGTTTAAGGTACAATTTGATAGTTTTTGCCATGTATAGACCCACAAAACCATCACCACAATTAAGACAATGAACATATCCATTATCCCCAGACTTTCATTGTTCCTCTTTGTGCTGTCTCGGTATGTCCTCTTCTTCCTTCTCTCTTCCTTGGGCTCTTACAAACCCTTTTCATTCAAACTAGACTGAAAAGCATGTATGTGTCTTTCTCCCTGGGGAGTTTCTTATTTTTGCTCAGACTCTACCTCCTTGCTCAGGAGTAGGAAACCTTTTCTGTAGTGGAGGGGGGCATAAAAGGAGGAAGCCTCGTCTTCATTTATTGTGTTTTACGTCAAATGTCTGATACATGCTGTGATGGCTTAGGAAAGGACCATTTGTTTTTTTTCCTTTCTTCTCTTAGAGCATTTCTCTGAGGCAGTGATACACTCTGTTCTGGCTACTTGCATGGCCAAATGAAGCGTGGGTGAATCAGGGAGCCGGAAGGAAGGAGAAGAATATTCAGGTACAGGGCACCAGCTAATGCCGCAGAAATACTCTCTGACATATAGCCACGAAAGATATTTTATTCTATTCCTCTTAGGATACGGTACTTGGTAGGTAAGCAATGAATGCCTGTGATTGATACCAATGGCCTGAAAATCCACAGGAGCTGTGTAGGTGGCATTGTGACTAATAGCCAGTGCCATTCGTAAGGTAAGAAGAATAAGCCTGAGGAAAGAGGTCAATGGATTTTTAAAAATGTAGGCTTTATTGGGCTTGAATTTAAGAAGATGGTCTGTTTCATCTTTGTTTAAGGAAGGTGATCAAATACAGTAAAATGATGGGATGAGATGAGCTCTCAGATAGTCCTTTCTAAAATCAAAAGATCCTATTATCCTAAGCATCACTGGCAAGTTAAATTATATGATCCCTCAAATTGTTATTTTTGGTTTGTTATTATACAGAGTAGATAAAGCATGTGCGTATTGTAATGTTGGCCATAAAAAATATGTATACTCTTTCTGGAAAGGAATTTATAATAACTATTTATTATAGTAGTGAAGTACTTACCATTTGAGAGGACTGGGCAAAATCCTCTCTCTAGTGAAAACAGCAGTAATATTTATTGAGTGTTTTATGTCTGCCAGGCCCTGTTTTATTTACTACACATTAACTCACTTTTGTTTTGCAATAATACTGTAAAGTGGGTATTATAATTGTTTTCCATTTTAGAAAACTAAAACAAAGAGATCAAACCGAGAGCATACAACTCATCATTGGTTGAAACAGGATTCAAAACAGATTTGACAACTATGCCCTATGCCTAAATGATATCCTTTTGTCTCGAAGTAGCGCACTTTGTGAACTATTAAACTTGCTTTGCAGATGAAGAAGTAGAGTCTTAGGTTAAGTACATGCCCAAGAACACAAACCTCAAACTTCTAGTGAATTCAAGATTCCATTCATTATATATCTGATTTTAAAAATTCATGCTTTCAACTATGATGCTATAATATCAAGAATGGTAAAATGCTGAAGTATTTTGACCTAGAAATTTAACATTTCTACCTGTATACTAGGGAGTAATAAGGCATTTTGATAAATTGGAGAGCACAACTATTGTACACAAAGTTAACTGTTGACTGTGTCCTAAATGAGCCAAGTTAAATCATACACAGCTATATAATACTATGGAATTATTGCAATTTTATCTAAAAAGTATTTAATGAGTTTTCAGATTATAATGATACACTGGAAGAAAACAGGATATGATATTAAGCAATTATGCTAGTGTGGATATTTTCAAAAGTAGTCAGAAAAAAGAATAGAAACAACCATCAAAATGTTGATGGTTAGATTATGGAAATTTTAAACTTTCTTCTTTTTTCCCATGTTTTCAGCAAATCTGTTTTAAATATATGAGAGTCAATGTGAAGTCTACATTTTTAAATATTTGCTTCAGTGTATATGTCACATAAAAATTTCAGTTAGTTCCACAGAACAAGTTTTAAAAATATTTACCATTTACTCCTACTAAGTGTACTGAAATGAAGCAAGCTGATTAAATTTGCTTATTACAGTATTTTTAGTAGTAAGGCACAATTCTTCCTATGTGGATCTGCTTGTGGAAGCAAATTAAATTTGGTATGTGACCCCAGCACTTTAATAACATTTGATCTACAGCTGACCAAATAGAAAATGTAATCTCCTTTGTTTAGAGACAAAATAAGACAAATTCTATCCTGTATCAATTGTACATATACTTTTGCTTTACCAAGTACTGAAGACGATATGTCTTGCTTCCAATCATCATGACTGATAAGATCAGACAAGCCACTTTCAGATTTCCTGTGTGAGTTAAAAGCATTGCCTGCCCCTTGTCCTGGACCCCCATTCTGAGTCACAAAACCAAATTATAGGGAAACATCCCAATTCCAAAACAGATTGAATTGACATTTTCTGGTTGCATGTTTATTTTCATTTTGTGATTTGGGCAGGTCACTTGCTTTGAGATTTTAGCACAAACAAGGTTTATTTGAAGAATAGTATAGCAAAAAAAAATATATATATATATATTAGGAGTATTTGAGTTGGAGTTGGGAACAAAATCTTTTAATACAAAGGAAACGATAAGAAACATATAATTTCTGTCCTGAATTAACCTGGGGAGGAATGTGGCTGGAGGAATGTTCTGTTTACAGATGAAGTGACAGAGAAGCCAGGATGGAGAGGCAGGGCAGGGCCCAGCAGTACCTCTGCTACCTGCCAGTTATGACACTAGATTTCAGAGAATCTACATCACCTACAATTTTTTTAAAAAAGTTTTTGATTAGTTGTAGATTGTTTCCAGAAATGAATCATATAGCATCTGGGGAAGTGCCTCCAGGGCTTTTAAACAAATCCTCTATTAGTCATGAGCAATAGGCTGCGTTATAAAACCACATCTGGAGAATTACATTTCAAAAGACTCATCCTTTTCCCTTTTACATCACCAGGTGCTGAGCCAGGTGTTTAACATAAATTATCTCATTTGTTTGCTCTGACAACATAATAAGGTAAGTATTATGAATCCTATTTTATAGATGAGGGAACTTAAACAGTTAAATAAGTTGCCTAGTGCTACTCATCTCAAACTTGGATTTGATGCTGGATCTGCTCAAATCCCATAACCTTGCCCTCTCCCATCGCACAGGAAGGCAGGACATGCTATTTACAGGTGCACAGAATGTGAAAAGATTGCAGCAATGAACTCACAGAGAGTAGTTACTGGGTGGCCAGAAAACAGAGAATGGGAAGTTGACTTACGTTGTGCTATCTATGTATACTAGTGCTATATAACAAAGAGGCAATAGCACATGGCAAGTATATATGGAGATGCATCTGCTTAGAAAGAATAACATGGAAAAGACTAATGGATTGGCAGGAAATCCAGATGCTACTGGGTGACTAGGCAGACTCTGGGAAAATTATAGATATGGCTTAAGGACCTTATTGCTGGCTTAATACCTTCTGATGGATATGGTTTCAAATGCACACAGGTTTAAAATTATTTAGCCTTGATTGCTTGTGGATGGAAGTTGAGTTTTAGGGAAGCAAAATGTGTTTTATTTCCTCTTGGGAAACTTGTGCATTGCATCAAATAGCCTAAATTAAAGAATCGTATTGGCTTGTATGTGTTGATAAAGTTACTATTTAAAGCATACAGAAGACTTCAATTTTTCAGAAGGGGAGGGCATTAGAGATAGAAAATCAGTAAGTGTGACTCTATACAGAATCCTTGTTGAAATTTAGAAAAGGAATAAGCCGTGTAAAAATTTGTTTTGTGTTTTTCTTTTCTTGATAGATGTGAGATATTAGTGCTCTAGTCTAACAGAAACAGGAATGTGATGAATAAACTAAATAATGTGGCAATTTTGCATATGGTTCAGTTTCCAAGAAGAAAAGAGACATTTAACTGGGATTCCATAGTGAGGTGACTCAAATAGATATAGAAATGGGAGGCAATATAGAACAAAGATGATTCTTATCAAAATTAGCTAGGCAAAAACAGGAACATAGTGGGCTCTGTTAGCACTAGTTATAAATAGGAAACTCATTTTCCCTGCTACTTTTTTTTTTTTTTTGATACCAGCAGGGATTGAATCCAGGTGGGCTCAACCACTGACCCACACTCCCAGCCCTTTTTTATGTTTCATTTAGATACAAGGTCTCTCTGAGTTGCTTAGGACCTCTCTGAGTTGCTGAGGCTGGCTTTGAACTCAAGATGCTCCTGCCTCAGCCTCTCCGAGCCTCTGGGATTACAGGTGTGTGTCACCATGACTGGCTCCTGCTACTCTTGGGAAGGGAAGGCTGAGCTTCTTGGATTGTGGATTAGAAGGACTGCGGTTGAACATACAGATTTTAGAGCAGCCCAATGTTAAACAACCCTCTGGAGAATTCGTGTGGAATTCTGGAAGGCACTTTGTGACTCTCAGCTTGTTCCAGGTAGGCAAGGCCAACAGAGGCATTTCAGCAAGAAACCATTCCAGCTACTTTAAATGAAAGAATTAGTGATCGTTTTTGGATTGATTATACAATCAGTGGGAAAATAGAGGAAATAATTTGGGGCTTTCAGGGACTACTTTGAGCTCATATCCCAAAATTCAGTTATCAAGAGATACTGCCTTTCCTAGGATTGGTAAAATTGTCATGATCAGGAAACAGCCATGTCCTGCAAGGTTAAGAAAGAGAAGCCATGTGATATAGCCTCATTCTCAATTGTAGTTTTTATTTATTATGGAAATGTTGGTGCAGCTTATCATGTCCGGAGCCAGGAAATGTGCTCTGATTTCAGGAAAGTACACTAGAAGGAAGTTGGATGGGTCATGTGCTTGCTTACTCTATCCAGCTCAAGGATGATGTGTTTGAAGGAACAACATCTGTGGGGGTCCTCTAGCTATTGGAGAGCATGTTCCTTGTCTATCATTCTTTTTGTTTTGTTCTTTTATGATGGAAAACTTTACATGTACATATGGTCAAACAATAAGAAGAGCTAAGTTTTATATTGTATAATTTATATAATGTATATAATTATTCAGGGACTACTTTGAGCTCATATAATATATCCAAATGATCGACTGCATTTTTCCCCTTTTCTGGAAGCAGTGATATTGGGTTATTTGGGGTGAGGGTTTTAGAAAGGGAAAAGCAAACTTTTTCCTTTAGGAGGTTTAACCTTATACTCCAAATGCTGCACTCCTCCTGGTTATCACTCTAGGTCCTGATTGCCTGGAAAGAGTGTGATTCTGACCCGGGACATGGAAACAGGGTCACTCAGAAGCTGTGATGTCTTAGTACAAGGGAGGTGTGTTTTTGAAATAAGCTGTCGGGTTCTCATTTGGACTAATTTCCACCTTTTGGCCCTGGAATATTCTTTGGCACTAGGATTGCAGATTTTATATGTCGCATTTAATAGGTTAGCCTAATGTAGTTTCACGGATGCTGGTAGAAGATTTGTTATCCTTGGGGTAAAAGAAAAAGGATTTTATTATTTACAGTACTGTAGACTTCACGGATTGGGATATGCGTGTAGGAGTGGGAGGATCCACTCAACCTCCTGGCAGAGGAGAGGGGTCATTTCCCAAAAGAACAATTGTTTACTGGGGGAAAGTTAGCTCCACCCACCGCAGATGTCTGACCTTCCCCTAAGCAGGACCCACAATGCCAGAGAGGGAGAGTAAGGACACTGCTGACTGTTACACAATCTTTGCACATTCAAAAGAGAGAGATTCTTTTCTCCTCCTGTCATACCTTCTACCAGAGAGCTGTAAGTTTCTTAACTTAGCTGTCATAGTCTTCTCCCTTCCAGCAGCTAAGACCTTTTATTTGAACAACCTCAAAATGATTTCAAAATCTATAAACCCTATAATGCATTGTAAACTATTGTCTAAATTATTATTCTTACTTTAATAGTTGCAAAGAATATAAATCTGGCATATGATAAATATTGATCTATCTAAAGAAACCCATTAAAAACACTTTTAAAAGGTATCCAATAGAATCTGAATACAATGTGATTTGACCTCATCCTGTTAAAGTCTATGAGCAAGATCTTCTTTAACAATAATTTATTTCTTTTTGTTCTAAAATTTATGTTTTCATTCAATTTCTCTGGTTAGATTTTACTGCGTTTTTTTTATATAAAAATGCCTATCCTTTAGGGAAAAAGCTTCCTATTATTATTTTATAATATAGATATATATGGTTATAAGAAAATAATTTTATTCATAAAATCTTCCATTTCTAGTCAAATAAAAAACTAAAGTTTAGTTTGTTTTCTAGGACTCTAAGTCTCATGTCCATGTCCTGTCTGGTTTTAATATCAGTCTCATTGAATGATCTGGGAAGTGTTCTCTCTTCTTTTAAGCTTTGGAGGTAGCCCATTCAATTTTATTACAATTTATTGAAATGGTTGGATTTAAGTCTTTCATTTTTTACTCTCGGTCACCTCAGTAAAAATCTTCAATTGTCTATACCCCACCTTTCCTGCCATCTTTTGGGTTATTTGAACATTAACTATTTGTATATTTTTGTACTATATTGCAGTGATTGTTCTAGAATTATAGTATACATTCCTAATATTTCATACTCTTCTACACTTCATGTCCAATGTAAAAAACTTATATTTACATAGCTCTTTTTAACCCACTTTTTCGTTATATTACATAGATATCATTTGTATAACATGTACATGTATTTAAAAACATTCCACCAAAGAGTATTATAGTTTTTGCTTTTAGGAGAAGGTAATCTTTTTTATTTAGTCATATATTTGTCATTTCTGTTGTTCTTTATTTTTTAAAAGTCAAGTTTTCCTGTATTATTATTTCCCCTTTCAGTTTGAAGTATCTATTATTTCTTATAGGTCACAGCTGTTGTTGATGAATTTTATTAAAATTTCTTCATATAAAATATAATCATTTCTACATAATTTTTATATTTTTAATTTTTTAAATATATTTTTATTTGTTCTAATTAGTTATACATGACAGTAGAATGCATTTTGACATATCATACATAAATGGAGTATAACTTCTCATTCATCTGGTTGTACATGATTTACATCATTTTTGAAGGACACTCTTGTTGAATATAGAATTCCAGCCTCAAAGCTTTTATTTTGTAGTGAAGGGAGGGCAGGGGGTATGGAGGTAGAAAGGATAGTAGAATTAATCAGACATTATTACTTTATGTACATATATGACTACACAACCAATGTGATTCTACATTATGTACAAACAGAAGAGTGAGAAATTATACTTCATTTATATAAGATGTATCAAAGTGCATTCTACTTTCATGTATAACTAATTAGAACAAATAAAAGACTGGAAAAAAAAGAGAAGGCGGAATTTTACACATTAAGTTCCAATTTGCATTTCATCACAAATAAATTAAGTAGACTTGCTTTGAAACAAAAAGTAGGTCATCTGTGAACTTTAAAATGGAAAAAAAAATGATATTGTTCCATCGTCTGACCATCATTGTTTCTGAAGAGAAATCTATGGTAATTCAAATCATTGATTCATTGTATATCATGGTTTTTACTCTAACTAAATTCAATTTTTTTTCTTTGGTATTCATAATTCAGGTTATGATGAGTCCAGGAATAATAATGATAATAATAATTATTTTTATCACTATTATTATATTTTTATAATATTCTTATTTAGGGTTAAGTTGTTTTGGGACAAGAACTCTGAAGGGTCTGAGATTTTACCCTACTTTCAAGCTAACAGGTTAGCCTGCTACATACCATTTCATGGATGTTGGTAAACAGATGACCTTGAGTGAGCAACAGAACTTCTATTCGTGGCACTGCAGTCATCAAGATTCATATTCACTTTGGCTTACCATCCTCCTAAGTCCCATGGTTAATAGAGCAGCCCAGAAAGATGCTGTACTTATTGTAGAGTTGAAACACAGTCCAGTATTTTAAAGGGGGACTAATAATAAACCTGCCCAATTTTTGTTCCAAAGTAGAAATTATCATTTTTTATAATGGCCATGAAACAAA